CTGCTTGACTATTTTTCTCGCAGAAATTTCAAAATTCAAATAGAAATATACATAATAAGATAACAGTATTGCATTCTTTTCATGTGTGGACATTTTCTAGATAAATGAATTAAATGCTCAGATTTTCCAGCCGCAGCAAAAAACTGAAGATAGACAGAAAGAAAAGAACGAGGAAGATTATCGTGAGTATTCAGATTTTAGCCGATATGCACGTGAAAAACTATTGCCGACCGAACGGCACAGATAGACAATGGTCGAGTGTACGGAATGCGCAATCTGGCAGTTTCTAATACAACTTATTGTCGAGAGTTGCCGTAAATATCTGATAAGTTACGGAGGCAAGTGCTGATCTCTCTGTCTCTCTCTCTCTTTAAACGCATGGAGTTGAAATGATGATGCGTCAAGTACGTAAATTTTGGAATGTACCGATTTCCCGTAAAAACAAAGAAGAATGGAAGCACTGCAGAATTTTTTTTTTCTTTTTATTCTCTCAGCACCCATCGCCAGAGCTGTTAAAGTACTTTTAAAAAGGTACTTAAGTACAAATTTAAGTACAATCTAAAATATGTACTTAAGTACAGTAAAAGTACTTTCCTGTAAAATGTACTTGAGTACAAATACTTTTTAAAAAAGTACTTATGAGTACATTTTGAGTACTTTCTGCTAATATGCTAAAACACTTCAAAATGCAAAACATCATATTGAATAACATATCTAGTATATTTGACAAATTCGGCCATTTATTACTAATAATGTAAACAGTATACAAAGCATTTGAATATACGCACTGAACGTAGGTGGAAATTGTCCGTGAAATTGAAAAAAAAACACCCAGCAAACAAACAGACGCAACTAGTGAGTAAGTGATATTATGAATAGAATTTGTTTGAGCAAGACAATATGATCTAATGTAAGTCAGTCCTAGAGGTCGGAAAGTAGGAAAAGTATCAAAATTGGAAAATGTAGAGACAAAGTTGATCTTAAGAAAATAAAAAATTGATGAAAATGGCCAGCAAAAGAAAGTGCTTTGAATTTTTAAACAAATCCTCAAGGAATCAAGATACCCTTAAGCACAAACCACAAAAAAGGGAAAAAAGAAATTTAGGTAGCCTAAAAACTTGTTAGATTGATATACATTGAGAACTCAGTTTCAGTTTCAATTGATTATAATAGTGGTAAGACAGAGTTTGGTCACACTGTGTAGTCCACGGCGCCCACGGCAAACCAAAATAGGCCTACATGTAATTTCCTAGAGTCTAGTAAGTGTAGTGTAACCAAAAATTGTCTACTACAGTAGTCTCCGCCTAAGATCCCAGTGCTCGGAAGCGAGGGAAACACGGGATCTTAGCCCGACGAAGCTAAGGAAGAATCTACAGTGACCCAAGAACTGATGTGACCCCTGGGTAGGTTTATGACATATGGCGAGCAAAGAGTGGTCATCCTTCATGACCAATCACAGTAGCATGGTGGCATGAGGCAAGCCATAATATTATACCGTACACTCATTAGCATATCATCTCGAGATCTTTATCTACGTTTATCCAGTTGCCCCTCCCCTTTACCTGTCCAAAAATTGTAGCCTTCCATCTCTGATTGAGTCCTCCCGCCTTTGTCGTTACGTATCATTATGCTGTGACCACACCAATTAAAATTCAGGCTGTCTCGCAATTTCATGAATAGAGAAAAACTGCCTTCAACTTCAATGGTCAGGGAAGAGTTCACAGTTCGATGTGATCCTGCCTGGAGCGAACTTGTAGGCCCAACCCACCCAGCGAGGGATGAAAGTTCAGGTGGCGAGCTCAGATGCGAGTGCGAGGGGGAAAAGAAACGCCCATCGGTCAGTTCACACCTCGGTGTGATCCCGTCTGGGGATCATTGAACCGTTTCATGGAGTTTTACAGCGCATGTGATCACTTTCACAAGAGTGGCTGATCTTTGACGCGACGGGCAGTTCTTTAATCTCAACTTTTAACTCTTGGTTGATCGGCTGTGCCCGTCCGGGTGTTTGTTCCGTAAATTATGATCGGAAATGTCGGCACTTATTCTTTCATTAAGCTTCAAAAGTACTCAAAATGTACTTGAAAAGTACTCAAAAGTACTTTTATAAAAAGTATCGGAGTACAGTAAAAGTACTGGTTCTCAAAATGTACCGGAGTACAGTAAAAGTACCGAAAATTGTAACGTAAGTACAAGTACCGGAGTACTTGTACAACCAGCTCTGCCCATCGCAAATCCGGTAGTTTTGACACCTTATCGGTATGGCGGTAGAACAGGCCCAAAATCAGTATCTACAAGAAAAATCAGTAGATTTAGGCAGCTCTGCGTGACACATATGGACATACTTCTCACCTCTTGTATAAAAACATACAGGAAGGGTCCAGCTGAGATGATCTGATGCATGTCTATAAATGACTGGATTTGTTTCACCATACTGCGTAGCTGATGTTTAGCCGCATCCACTCCCGAATCCATCTTTTCTTGATTTGACCTTGAAATTAAAGAGACAGAAAGAGTAGATGTTAATTTACACCTTCATAGACACAATTAAGATAATCCAAGAGGCCCTTCCCCCCTTGTGTTTTTTAAAACTCACTTGGGCCTATTCCCATGTATCTACTGGATACGCTTTATCAATCAATATCTCCGGTGTTTTTCAGTTACAAGTTACGGGAAGCATCGAACCAAACGTTGACCCACTTGCTTCGTTTCCTTAGAAATTAGGTGAAATTATGTGCAATACTTTTTAAACTGTAACAGAGTAAGTCAGCCAACCCCCCCCCCCGCATTGTGATAGATGATTTTATTATAATTGGGCAACAACAAAAACTGCATAACCCCCAGACAGTGCCATTTCAAAATATGGATAAAATAAAAACTATTAGGAAGAATTCGATGCAGTTTTTTTTCTGTAGTAGTAGTAGTAATAGTAGTAGTATAGGGTTTTACGGCGCTCGCAACTGCATAAGGTCACATGAGCGCGCGAAACACAACGTCGGTCGCCTGATAAAACCGTGAATTCCACAAATTTTCGAAAATGTTTTTTTTTGCATATTTTGATAGTGCTCGGTGAGATACATGTCACTGTAAAACAATTTTTCAATTATCTCAACTCAAACGTGTAATCTGACGTAATAAGAAAATCGTGAATAAACACCAAGCCCCAAAAGTCGCCTGATGAAACGTGAATCCCACACCGGTGTGGAATTCACGATCTCATCAGGCGGTTTATAACTCGCGGGACTGACCGTTGGCGCCATGAACGCCTCTTTAGACCTTTGAAATATGGGCGACTGCGTTGAGCAAACACAACGGTCGGTCAGTATTTATGGTTTCCAAGCCAAAGATGATAATTTATGATGTCGACAGCATGTGTTTTGCGGGACAATCTCTGTCACATAATTAAAATGTGTGTTTCCTAGATGCAAGACTGGTATTGTTTCACGACTGTCAAATTTGAATGTGTAATGTGTGTGCCCTTCTAGTAGTGGGTTATACAATTTTTTATCTTGCTCGTTTGCAATTGTTTTTTTTATAACGTAGTCAAGTATAAATTACAAGTATATTTCCGTGTTGTACCACAACCCAAACTTGTTTGACATTGAAAGCTCAATGATTTGAGATCAGAGTTCCCTAACGAGAAAAGGAATTTTGAGAAGCCAAGCAATGTGAACCATTTTGGGCAAAAATGAAAGCTACAGAAAATACAGCACAGAAATAGTAGAAGAACCAGACTTCAATGAAAATAATTGTCATTCAAAGTAAACGATGCATTGGAACAAATCAAAGTTGCTTTTTTAACCTGAGAGAGAGAGAGAGAGAGAGAGAGAGAGAGAGAGAGAGAGAGAGAGAGAGAAAGAGAGAGAAAGAGAGAGGGGGGGAGAGGGGGTAGCTATAAGCAATACAAATCAAAAGATAGGACGATTGAAAAAAAACTAATGAACTGAAACCCAGATGTGATTGCTCAACCAAATCAAATGACTACTCACTATTAAAAGACAAAGACAGAACAACTATGTTTGTCTTTGTTTGGACATAGGGAGACAGAAAGACCTATGTGAACGGTCTTCTCAACACGAAAGAGTACACTTTAAATGCGATACACCAAGCTGAAAGATGCACACTTTTGAAACAGAGTGACCAGAAGATCAAAGTTTGCAGGATGTTGATATCTATGACCGGACTCACCCATTGTAAATTGCTCTAGAAGAGCCCATGCCAGTTTCATCATCGCTTGGCTCACCCCGTACGGACAAAGACTTTCCACTATTCCCTACCCTGGGCTAACTTCTTCATATTTTTCAAATGTCTTTCCACTATTCTGTTCTTCATTCTTTGCGACTTTTGTACAGGTTCCACATGACTTTCCCTTGATCGTGTAACCTGTAGACTCAAAATTAAAACTCTTAGTTATGTAGCTGCCTGATTTCCAAATGGTATGCTCAGTCCAGTACATCTCCACTGCTTTCTTCTGTCTGAAATTGTTCTGCTCATTACTTCCTCATTGCATGGTGACTGTCTGTCCATCTAATCCTGAGGAACTTACTTGGGCACTTGTTGGTGATATCCTGGATCCTCCAGTACTTTGTAAAGAGTGCTTTAGAAGAACCCAACCCAGCAGCACCACCAAACAATCCACAAGCCAAGGAGTTTCTGTTAACATCCGTGGACATGCTTCTGAAGGTTCCCACTCACTATTGTCAGCAGAGCTCTGGAAAACTGTTTCATGATCCCTGATTCTATAATCTGTCTGAGCTTCAGTGATTTTACGAAACAGCCTGCACAGGTCAGGGACAATCTACCTGGTATGTAAAGCTACTCAAATATGTGCTAGATGAAAAGACCATGTCGACATGTGAGCAAAAAAAAAGATCAGTGAGAATTGTGCGTGAGTTTTGAGGCTTGACAACGTCAGCCAAACTAAGTGGGAGTCTCTCATGTCAGAAAAGAAAAGGACAAAGAAAGGGCACGCCATGGATAAAACCTTTGCTCTTTGCTCTTAGTCTTAGGCAAGAAGACCTTGTGATGATTTGCATGAATCTTCAGGGTGTACTTTGTAACTGTCTATGAATCCTTCCAGCTCTTGTTACAGAAACATGCACATAATCTTCAATGCGATCTCGTATAATGCCATCTATTACTTTTGACGCAAGGTACAAGGTGATTTGATTGCAAATGAATTCACAAGTTGTTTGAAGGATTTTTAAATAAAAGACATTTTCAGAACTGTAATTTTTATAATTATATCAACGAAGACCATATAAAGTGAAATTTGTGGATCACATTTTCCCATATGATTTTGTCAAAATTGCTGTCCACAAAACTGTCAGGTCGGGTAGACAAAAAGAAGACCAAGCTGTTAATGCAGTATGAAGCCTCTGATATACATAAGGAGAAATTCTTTGCACACTGAACTCTAACAAAGAGTGGGAGAGTCTTCTAAAGTCCAGAGACAATGAAAACTTAACCAGTTTCTCACCACTGTACCATTCTCCTTATAAATGGCAAAGAGTAATTTTCATATACTCAGTATCTTTTAAAATCTTTCTTATAACAGTATTTCGTGCTTTCATAAATTTTTTTAACATACCAGGCCCTCAAATAAGAGAAAACACACTGCCTAATTACCATGAATACAACACCGTGTTCCCAAGAGCCTACTGATGAAATCGTGAATTCCACACAGTTTAATTCACGAACGCATCAGGCGAGATTTGAATACAGCTGTATGAAAATCGTGAATCCCACACTTTTTCAAAAAAATTACCATCTAGGATAAAAAATGTACTACTGTATTATTTCTAAAAGGAAATTGACTAGATTTATCCGTTTAGTTTATATATCTTGAACGCCAAATGACGGAGAAAATCAGTTTTTTCTCTCTCCTGTAAAATTTGCTTCGTGTGGAAATCTCGATTTCATCAGGCGACCGACGTCAAGTTGTTTACATTTGCAAAAGTTCACAGCACAGTTGGTTAACTATTAGACTTTAAAATGCTAAAATATTAAAATTCGGTGTAAATATATTTTCAATTTAAAACAACTCTTATAAATAACAATAAATTTATAAATAGTACGATTTCACTTTACAATTTGCCATAAAGGCCAATGGCCTTCATAAAATTCAAAATGTCCGTTAAAGCAGGATTCTCGCTATAAGGGATCCAGTTATAAATTCAAGGGAAACTGTAAAGTAGGCCTAATCTATGAGTTTGGTGTTTCTGATTATTTCCTTTTATTTTCCCTGATGATGATTTTGTTTCAACATGACCTCTAGGTGTTACTTGATCAAAAATCGAATCAGGTTTTTTTTTCTAGCGCTAGATCTAGCGATGTGGACTGACAGCTCGACGTTGGCGATCAGAAAGAAAGGGTTCTGGGCTAACTCACCCGCTGTGTTTTCCCCCACCCCACCCTGTGGTGCATTCTGTCTGCTTGCGCACGTCACACAGATTTGCTCCATCGATCACATTGCTGTGACCTCTCCATCCCCGCATTGGAGAAGTGAGAGGCATGGTAGGCCTTGATAATCTAAACTAGGCTTATGCTGGCCTATCATGCGAAGCGTTCTGCTTGTCTGCGCACGCCACACCCTCCCTACTCAGTTGCTCCGGCCTTCATTGTTGACGCACAGGTGCTCTCCAATTCTTTGTTTAGCGAAATCACCAACAAGTTTCTCAACTGGCGAGGTTTTGCATTATGTATAATTGGCCTATGCACTGTGCACAGCAGCAGGAATATTCCGCTCTAACCGACTCGCTTGTCTGTCTGATAGCGCTGTAGAAGTTTTTTTTTTACAAAGGTAAAGAAGAGGAAAAAACGGGGTTTTAGAATAGTGTCTTTATAGCAGCCCTCGTTTTTTCCGAACTCGTTATAAGTGGACTCCATTGTATTTCCTTCGGATCTCTCCAAAGTCTAGACATTCGGTTAAGACGTGTCTAATGGTAAAATCTGTGTCGCATCCGACACAGAACGGCTTCCCATCTCCCGGTAGGAGGTATTTGTGGGTCAGGGCCGTGTGTCCGATGCGCAATCGAGTAAAAATGACTTCGTCTCTTCTGGAGAGGTCCGAAGGATTTCGCTGTTCTAGTTTGGGTTTTATTTCATATAGTTTATTATTTTTCTGCTTTTCCCAGTGGCTCTCCCACAGACTGGAGGTGTACTTTTTGACTTTATTTCTAAAGTCAGTCTGAGGGAGAGTGTTTGTCGTTGAACCCAGCAGAAGGGATGAGGCTTTCTTCGCCAGGTCGTCTACTTGCTCGTTTCCTCGGGTGCCACATGGTTAGGCTTTCTAAAAGCTTTTCGTGGAATTTATTGTAGTTGAGGTCGATATTGGGATAAAGAATCTGGGAACATTGATAGGCAAACCCGTCCCAGTCTGCTTTTTTTAAGTTGAAGCGTTCTGGGATCGGGTCGTTTTGGAGGCTATTGTTATGAAGAAGAATTGGGAAATGGTCCGTACGGTCATCCAGCACAGACCACTCAAGATCTGGGACTAGGTCAGGGGTACAAACGGTGAGGTCAAGGGATGAAGTGCCATAAAAGGCTCTGTCTCTGTAAGTTGGGGATCTATCATTTAAGACACAGATGTTATTCTGAATTATAAAGTTTTCTATTATTTTTCCTTTCTGGTCTGTAGGTTTGTTTCCCCAAAGGGGGCTGTGGGCATTGAAATCACCTAGCAAAATAAAGGGTTTTGGAAGCTGAGCCTTTAAGTCATTTAGTTTGAGGGGTTAATTTGGTGGAATATAAACTGAGCAGATCGTGATTGGTCTGTGCAGGGTGACCCGTACGGCAATAGCCTGGAGGGTCATCTTAAGATGTACTTGTCTGTGGAGTGTGTTGTTGTCAGTGTAGATGGTGGTACAGTCCGTGCCGGCTATAAGCACGCCGGCCTTAAGCACGTTTCGGACTCAAGCACGCAAAACGGCTCTTACCGAATTTTTGCTATATAAATTACACGCCTATAAGCACGGTAACTTCGGCTTCAAGCACGCTTCATTTACAAGACAGTCAATATTTTCATGATGACCCATCCAAGTTCGAACACAGTTTACACCGCAGCAGTGGAGTGTGTCAAGAGAAACACAAAGAACGCAAGTGATGGACACACACTCAACTCACACGGGCGGAGAGGAAGGCAGAGAGATGCACACAGCCGTGCGCGCGGACATAGGATCTAGCCTAGGCCTAGCGCAAAGCTACACACGACCCAAAAAAAAATACAAAGAGAGTCAGGGAGACGAGAAAGGGAGGCTGGCTGAGATGTTACCTTTGACCCTCGCTATCCATTAATCCTGATTGTGTATCACGCGCGAGGTGGGATGAAGGCGGTGGTATGAGTGGCACAGCGGGCAGTGGTATGCACAGGCAGTGTGTTACAGTAGGCCTAGTGTGCTGTATCGTGACTGGCCGTCTAAATTAAGTTTTCATTTCCCATTCGACCACAAAACAAAAACAAACAAGCAAACAAAAACTCCCATGGCGGGTGTCTAAATAACAGTGCACACTTTTGCGGGACCGCTATAGGCCTACTTACAAACAAGGGGAAATAGCACGGGGAATTTTCTATATGAAAATATCTGGATTGTGTCTACTTCGCACTTAAGCACGCTTCGGCTTTAAGCACGCTTAAGCTTTCCCCCGATGACCGTGCTTAAAGCCGGCATGGACTGTACCACCGGAAGCAATCTGGTTCTCCGTGTGAATGTGATGGTACGCAGTAAATCCTCTTAAGTCTATGGTTGAAGCGGGGGCAAATTTTGTTTCTTGAATACAGGCCACTGGTTTTTGGGTTTTTTTCTGTGAGAGCATTTCTTTCTTTCTCTTGTTGCTTAAAAAAAAATTATGATAGCTTTCAGTCTTTTGTGGCTAAACAATCAATATACCCCAAAACTGACAGGCTGCAATGGTTACGGGGTGAAAAATAGCTCAGGCTCAAGTGAATTGAAATGTTGTAAAGACACTCCTCAAGATATCCTCCTGTCTGAGATAACCACTTTTTTCCATGACAGTGGGTGGTCTTGAAAATTTTTACAATTAACTCCGCAATTCTCTAACCTGTGAGATTTCCTTTTCCTCCCACATGGACTGAGTGAAAAGACAATTCCAACTATGTTATGCAAAACAGAAGTAAGTTTGCATGAGAACATAAAAGCTGAACATCCCAGCTAATTCCCCAACAGGGAAAAGACATGGGGTACTTACACTGGGGTTAATTGAATACCAGGAGTTTGGGGAATCAGTCACACGGTTTGGAGATGGTCAAATCACACACACTGTGTGTGTTATTGTGTGTGTGCATGTGTGTAGTGTGTGCATGCATGTTGTGTGTGAGTGTGTGTGTGTGTGCGCGCGTGCATGCATGTGTTCTGTTCACCCCACTCAAAGGGTTTGGGAAAAGCATGTTATGAAACTTTATAGGATCAGTTCCTCTTTAGTTTTAGTAAGAGTTTTACGGCACTTACAACACAATAAGGTCATACAAGTGCCGAAGAGCTGTTACAAGAGATTGTAAACATAAAAAAGGAGAAAAGATAAAGACGATAGTTGTTTGATAGGAAAGAAGGAGCAAACCAAACCAGAGCACCCACCAACCACCCACATTGTTAAGAACTACTGGACTAGACAATTATTACTGACAACAAGTTCAGGGCACTTCCAAGTGACGCACCTTTGTAAAACCTCCGTACCATCCAGGAAGTAATCCGTCAACATCTTGGACTTATCCTGTGCAAAACAGAAGGTAAAACAAAAGGGTAAGAAATAAACTTGAGAGTTTTGATAGAAATATATACAAACATGCGAAGAAAAAAATAAAAACTTGACCCAACCCAAATAAGAACAAAAACAAGGAAGGGTTGAGCAGTAACAACTTACACACAGAACTTAAAAAGATGGGTAACAGACAAAAACCAGGACATAATCTTTTTTTAGAGCACCCAAGAAGAAGAATAAGTAGTAAACAATGATGGCTGAAGTCTGTTTCAGACCTGACACTTCATTGGGTTTTTTGGGGTTTTTGTATCTGCGAATGTGTGTATGTGTGTTTATAATAATGGCCTCATAATGAACATCTTCTGTCCTTTGATTTATCAGTTGCATTGAAAGATAATTCTGCATTTTAAATACTATACGACTATAACGAATTCACATCATTATTAAGATTATTATGGTGCTGATACAACAAAACTGAGCAGCCAGTATTAAATCTTTGAAAGCGCAGATTCTGAAAAAATGTTTGAGGACACCCTGCTTTGGAGGCACTTCAAAAAGGAAGCATAACTTTGATAATTCATACAGATTTTTCAACTGTGTTTTCTTTACTTATAAAAGCAGGAAACAACATGTACTCTATTGAAATGTGCAAATGTGTTTTTCTAATCTGTGTACGATGGTTCAAACTTGCTTTTGGTCTGCTGCTGTTTGAACAAAACATTGTACAGTAGTCTCCACCTAAACGCACACCATACAAAAGCACGCTCTGCTCAAACGCAGGCTTTTGTCACCTGACAGGTTTTTACGATATAATTTAGTCGTGCAAACTGGTCACTCACTCTAAACGCACGCTCTGATCCGTGAAACATGCTGAAATGTAAAGCATGACAAAGGGAACTTTTCACTACAACCTTCACAGCTTGTATAAAATAACACAAGCCTCGAAAAACAGACATTTGGCGAGACTGCCCTCACGTCGAAACAAAGAGAGCGATGGACAGCTTTTTCCCACCCAACTTTCCACAGACACATAGGATTAGGGCTGGTCGGTGAAATGTTGGGGGGGTTGGGGGACTGAAATGTTTTTTGATTGGTCACTGGAAATGCACCTTTGAGAGAAGGTTTCTGACTGGTGTTTTGAGTGACTGCATGTAATGTTTAGTTAGACTTAGGCCTATGATGCGCAACACGTGAGAATGCTGTAAAACACTAGAGATAGGCCTCTATAGGATTAAAGATTAGTCAAGTAAGCCTAATCGGCTGCGCTCGATGAATTTATAACAAATTAACATACTTGTTCAACGAAACCACAAGAGAAATGTTTCTACGAATGTAGAGATCTATGATTCTGAAGTCGTCCATGAATGTATGGTCGGGGGTAGTCGCATGGAAAGCCACGTGGCTGGGCCGTCGTCTCTATAACTATCACCAACAATTTCCTCTTAGGCTATCTGTTCAAGACAATACATTGAGTCTGTCTGTGCCCAACCCATTCAACGCCTTTGTATTCTAACCGCAGTCGGGGGGGGGGGGGGGGGGGGGGGAATCCTTCACAAAACAGTCGCGTGTTGTCGCATTATCCGCCCAAAGTGACCCCCACCCTAAAGGAAGGTCACTAGAATATCAAGACAATGAGATGATTGCGTCCCTTCCTCCCTTTGCAAAGGTTCATGTACATGCATGCTCCCGTATAAATACACATTAAGGAGCCCCCCGAGCACCGTGTGTTTAGGCAGAGACTACTGTATAGCTTTAAAGCCTTTGAAACACTGTTAGGTTATTTAAGAGGTGGGACCTCAGAATTTAACATCCTTAAATTCGATAGGACCAAACCAAATGGGATGATTCGGGTAAAATGCCTTTCCCAAGGACACAGTAATGGGCCGCTGATCGGGCATATGTGTCCATTACATTCTTTGAAAGTAAAAATAAGGAACCCCATCACTCACGATAGACTCCAAGAGAGCAGCACACATCATCACATGGTCGGCTGCACAGAGAACACTTTTGTAGCCATACTGCATGGTGAAGGAGGGAAGAATGATATCTTGAATCTCCAGTCTGAAAATTGTGTTCATTTGTTTGAGTAAAGAGAAGCACATCCACAGATTAACAGTCGTTTAGGGTAAGGACTATATTTATTTTTTTTATAGTAGAGGGTTTTACGGCGCTCGCAACTGCATAAGGTCATATGAGCGCCAAGGGGAGGGTGTCAACAGAGAAGTCTTTACAGGGAATCAGACTTAGACTGCTCACCTCTCTAGCTTCAACAGCACAAGGTCTGCTTCGACTATCAAGGCACCCCGGAAATAGTAGGTCACAAGAGAGTGACAAACATACAAAAGAAGTAGAGGAAATGACAATAGTAAGTATCAGGAAAGAAAAAGCAGCAGTTCCCTGTTGTAGATCAGGCACAGTTATGAGTGTGACATGAGTCAGCCCATTTACAATTCTATGCTTGAACGAGAAATGTCCCCCTTTTGGGAATGGCCTAAAGACACTACAGTCAGTGGCACTGCCCCAGGGGGTAGGGCAAGGACTGGTAAGTCTGACAAACAGACAGACAAAAACAATAATAATAAATAATAGATAGCATTTTTATAGCGCAAATTTCCATTCAACAACAAGCTCTATGCACTCTACAACCTATACTATTAGCCCAGCAAACCTAATAGTATTCTGAAACAATTTCAACTCCCCGGGAAGCATACAGCGCAAGCTGCCATCTATACGTGCTACTAAAACACTAACACTGAAAAGAACTTTCGTTGTCTATAGCTGGATACCCATTCCAGAGATGCCAACCACAGAAAACCGAAATGAGTATTGGGAAATATGGAATGTATGTATTTTCAGGGGAAAATGTGTATTCCCCACGACCGACCGACCAACTCGTAAAATGTTTAGGGTGTCCAGCAACATTTCCTGAAAAAAATTTACTGGCTCAATAGCTCGAAAAAGGGAGCACACACACGTAAAATATGCAGCCAGTCAACAACATGTCAGTGTTCAGTGTCGTACTGGGGTCTTGTTTAACTTAAGTATTTCAGTCTGTTGTAATATTTTCTTCTCATTATTATATTAAAAATTTATCCTGCTTTGAGCGTTCAAAGGGCCTAGAACAAGAATTTCGACTATCAAGAACCAGTCTGGGTGTCATGATTCATATTATGAACTGACAGACTAAAATTATGGCTCAAACTCAGAGAAGAGCAATAACTTGATAGGCTCAAGTAGACCCATACACTGTGAGAGTTGTAACAACTGTGGGAGGGCAAGATGCAGTGACACTGAAAATCTGCCAGCCTCGAACAGAAAGCTAAAACACACACTGAAGGTATAATTTACTATCACCCATCCAATGACACGCGAACAATTTATTTCAATAACACAAAGTTGCAAAGTATGAAGGGTCCCGATTCCACACACGGCCTGCACCAATGCGCGCTTTGCACAGAGCTCTAATCAAAATTCTGAATTCAGCAATTTGCTTCCAAGTTTTCGTCCTCTGGTACTGGTGTTGCCTCCCCACCCCCCACCCCCCTTCCCGCGAGTGTATCTTAAAAAAACCAAAAAAAAACAATAATCCCCTCCCCTATTCCTTAGTCCTATACTTCAAAACACCGTTACTCCCACGAAAGACAGTCTTTGCTCACACGATGCCACATTTATTTGTGATGCAAATGCGCGCAGGTTAACTGACCGGTCGCTATGGTGAGCAAGACAATCTAAAATTCGGACAACGCTGGTATTTTCTTTTCTTTTTTCCCCACAAGTGACAGCACAGTGACGAGTCCGAGTATTTATTACATTTTATTTGCACGGCAACACAGCGTTTATATACTGCACAACCTGCATGTCACAAATGTTGCGGGTATCGCCGAGAAATTTCAGGGTGGTAATGAAAGCAAAAGTAGATCTTGATTTTCCCGATCGAGCCTCGGTGTCACATACACTTCCGCCTGCCGCCATAGCCAGTTTACGTGAAAGTGAAACGTAGGCTACTCTCGGACGGGGAAAAGCTGAACGAATATAATATCACAATCGTGACCGGCAAAAATGAACTTACGGACCTTATCGGACTTGGTTTTCAAATATTCCAGTTCCGCGATACTGATACTATTTTGACAAAAGATGGAACTTGAGATAATTAGGTTTACTCGCCAAAGCTGAATCTCGTAGTTTCCGCATTCCAGAATGCGTATTTTTTAATGATTTTCGGCAAAAAATCGTACTGGTTGGCATCTCTGCCATTCCCACCTAGATAAAGTGAGGAAAAAACAAGTGAGGTGCCTTTCCCAAGGTAGCATCATCATCATCATCATCATCATCCAGTGCCAGATCTGCGACAGACATCGGCGATCATGATTTTCCATTCATTCCTTTGCTCGGATGCTCTCAGAAAAGCTACGTTTCCCTGATTTTTCCCTGTTACCCATTTGTTTAGGTTCCCTAAGTATGTTGTTCTGGGCCTACCCCTGATCAATGATCACGAAAAACCTTTTTTTTGTCAGAAAGTGTTTGCAAATATGTGCATTTTGTAGCTGTATCTCCACAGAGCATGGGACTTTTTTGAATTTTTGAAATCCATCAATAAACAAAAAAGTTACGAATTTTTTAATCAATTAATTTTTTATAGACTTTTATATAAAATGAAAAAACCCCAAAATATGGGACGTTCTTTGGTGAGTTTCTCGGAGTATTTAAATGAAACTTTGCAGCCCAGTACATTTTCTAGTCAGAGTTCTCATAGCTATCCTACTTTTTGAGTTATGAAGACGTTTATAGGTAAAAATGAGGCGGTTTTCGGTGTGTTTTGAGACAATATTTGTCATAGTTCGCCTATTTCTTGTAGTATGTAAATGAAACTTGGCAGTCTAGTACAGTTTTTAATATCTATCCTACTTTTTGAGTTGTAAAGACATTCACAGGTTTAAAAAAGTGGTGTTCTTTAAAGATTTACAAAGATTATCGGTCATATCTTCTCCCAAAGTCATGATATTTGAATGAAACTTGGCAACGTAAAAGATTCCTCCTTGCTAAGCAATGCACTGGATCAATTTGGCACAAAAATTTAAGCAGAGAGCTGGATTTATTAGTTTAATAAATCCAGTTCTCTACTAGTAAAAGCATGCACACTTTGTAATAGAAAATAAGATCGTCTCTATAATCGGACAGTGTCCTATTGTGTGGTAGATTAAGATGCGTTTAGATAATATTATTATAGTTTACAAGTCCTGGGAATATTTCGCATGTGTAGGCTACAACTCATACTATAAATGTTCAGACATTTACCCCCCCCCCCCCTCTCTCTCTCTCTCTCTCTCACACACACACACACGCACACACACATATGCACGCGCGCGCACTCACGCACGCACGCGTGAACAATAACAATGAATAAACGGGACTATCTTCCCAGACTGGACTAAATAAGTACCATACTCTTTAAAAACAATCTTAATGCCTCACTTTTCCAAACAGAGCAAACAGGACGAGTCCAAGTGTGTGCTTTCCCAAGAGGGGGGAATAGGCTTTCATAACGCAAACACAATGTCATACCACTTCTTAGATGTTTGCTTTTCTGTGTCTAGTCTACTCTCATGTAATTAAGCAAATAAAAATGACTACCTCTATCGTATTGTGACTAAAATGCAACACAAATGCAATTTATCAAGGCCCCCGTTTAGTTTTCAAGTATCCTTCCCCCCTTTCTGGTTCACATAAGCGGGGCCTCGTTTGTAGCGCCCGAGGCGGCCGATGGCTGATGACGTCACTCAGTGGAAATTTCCCAGCCTCCGGTCGTTCACCCAGCACGCGCAAATGGCAATGCTGCTTTTCCCTTAGTTGCTCCCACAATTTTAAAGATTACGCAAAAACCGCTAAACACAGAAGCATGACATTTTAAGGGAATAAAGAAAAATGGTGTACAACGTATCAGTCAGTTTGACAAATCACAGCTCCGAAAAATCTTCAAAGCGCACCACATCAACCACTTTCGCATACGTTTTCGACTACTTCTTGGATGGATACAAAGTTGTCAAACTGCATACTACTAGATTGACCTCTTTTCTGATTGACTGCCAAGTTTCATTCATATCCATTCACGAGAAGCGGCGTGAGAGCGAGTTGAAGACAACAACCTTTGTGTTGGTGCGTCCCACGAAACACCCCCACGGCGGGGGCCAAAAATCGGCAGAACAAAACGCGCTCGGTGGGCATTGCTACCCAAGGACACAACTCAGACTGAGGCTGAACCCTCAAGAAAAGAAATAACACCCCCTCAGCCCCCAATTTTGACATTTACAAAGCACCATCTAAAAAATTACTATTCAAGACATCTTCATAATTTCTTCTGCATTGTGCAATAGGTTTTGTTGCCCTTTTGCAAGCCAAGTTTAAAAGTTAAGCCGTGAATAATAAGGTCATAATGATTTTTTGAAATAGATACCAAAACGCCTGGCATTCCTAAGATGTTGAGCCAAAAAGTGCCCAGCAGCTCATGAGTTAAGTCCTGTTCTTGGCATCGGTTTAGGTCGAAACTTAACACCCCATTCGATCCAAAATCTATCGATTTTAAAAATTCCTAGATCAAAAGAAATACTTCATCAAAGCTTGAGAATCTCCTCAAGAATGCACATAAAAGATCAGACAAAATCTCACCCATATTTGTGCATGAAGGTCTGCATTTTTTCCTTGACTTCAGATTTCAGTGTGGACTCCATGGCACTGTATTGTTGTTTACACTGTGCTAACGGCAAGCTGCAAAGAAGAAAACATTTTTCTTTGACTCTGTGAGTCTATATGTCAGACATACCTGTCTTATGCCCAAACATGAAACGTCTCGATTCTCATATGAACAAGTCTTCCATTCCATGAAGAGGACTAAATAAAATATTGCTACCCCCCAAACAAGTATGTAGTGTTGTATATCTCATGGCGGTTGTGTTGTCAACAACAGTGCGAGTTGTTGGTGGGTGCACTGGTGTAGTTTGCTTCTTCCTTTATCAACTAATGTTGTCCTTTGCTGCCCACCTTCTTTTGTATGTTTGTTATCCTCTTGTAACTCTAAGCCCACACACACACATACAAACACGAACACACACAAAGAGTACAGAGAGAAAGTATATGTCACAATTTTCAGTTTGTTTTGATGTATTGTTCGGCTTGTGTCAATTTGTCAATCAGTTCTATCTTTATAGGATACAACTGTTGTTACGTACTAAAAAAATATTTTAAACAGCTTTAAAAGGAAAAAAACTTGGCATAAGTCTAAAAAAAAACGTGTAAGAGAGACAGACAACAGTCTTCAATATTTTCCTGTAACTGATGACATATTCGCCTTGAAATCTTCTGACTAAGGAATTAATTTTAGGGCAGGAAAAACACACTTTAGCCTTTAGAAAAGAAAAATGTGCTGTTTAATAAGAGGCTAAACAATTTCTATCAGGTTTTAAATCTTTGTTGCCAGTATGGAAACCATTGTTACCACTACTTTACGAGTAGATTCTGCTTAACTGTGCACACATTTATTTGAACATCCCTTGTTTTTAATCATTTGGGAAACTGAAAGATCCATATTTGAGGAGAACTAAACTCTTAATTCTTTCAAGGAACCCTAACCTTCAAACCTCATGACATATGACTTCCAAAAAATCAATTTTGTATCCTTGTGAGTGTAATTCCTGAGCCATTCTACATACTTTTTACAGAATCTACAAACCAATTCCATACAAAATTGTCAATATCAAATTGGTCCAAATCTAAAGGAAAGGTCAAAGAGGAAACAACTTACCCCATTTCAGCTAGGAATTCATGAAGTTTCTTTTGCCCTTTCAGACTCCATAGTTTGAGTTTGCAAGCGACAGAAGTGGAATGGCAGATACTGTCAAAAAGTGACCAATGCCGATACAAGGACAAGTGCAGCTCCTCCTCAAATGAAACTCGTAGACAGTTGACAGACAGTAAATTTTCATCATCATCACCTCTGAAATGTAAGTACAATTTTATTTTGAAAATTGAGCAAATAAACACAAGTAAAGATTTGTATTATCACATCATTTTTACACAGGGATGCCAAATGATTTTTGAAAAAAACTCTGAAAATGAGTTGAGCATCACATCTCACATAAAACGAACCTTTTAAAATCTTTAAATGAGCAAACAAAAACATTTCTCTTACCATTTCCCCTTTCCTTTGCAAGTGTATGAAAAAAACGGAAAAAGCAGAGATTTGGCATCCTCGTTTACAACAAGCAGGATACGATCTGATGGAAATAGCTGATGCAAATCTGACCACAGTTCTTCAACAGCCAAAGACCCCCCCAGATAGTTCTGACTTTTATCGGAGTACTTAGCAGGCCTGCAATTTCAGCTGGGTAGTTTCTTTTTTCACTTCTCTAATTCTCAAGCTGAGAAGATAAATACCTACAACCTTAGCACAGGACAGTTCACTTATATTTAACTCCACTACCAAGAGTAATGGGCTCATTACACTTTAACACAAAGAAAACAAGAGGATGCATTTGACAATTCTTCCCCCCTCCCTGAACAAAAATGCACTGCTTGCAGACATACTTCAAAATTTTTACAAACCACATATGTATTAAGCAGCTACATCAAAAACACAGTTGGGTATTCATTCTTAACTCTTCAAGGCAAAAGTGTTGTTCCGGTATGACCGCTTCAGCCACAAAAAAAAAAACTCGTACGATTGTTACATATCTAGACATGTTTTTTTTGTTGTTGTTATCTTGGGGATCCGAAATTTTTATCAAAGGGAATTTACTGCAAGAAAAGCATGGAAGCATCTCTCAAGACTTTCATGTTTGGTGAATTATACAGCATGCGGTTTTAAAAGACTTTTATCGATTTTCAGTGTTTACAAATTTGTGACCTGATTTTGCGACCAGCTGATTTGATAATAAACAATGTCTCAGCAGTTAAGACAGTCTGATGATTTGATGAGTAAAAGGGTTTGTATCCTTTCAGAAAAGGCATGGGAAATGTGTTTATTGAGTGAAAATCACTGAAAATGAGGTCTTGGTGGGTACAATCGATGGGTTGTTGTTTTTTTTCTTTTCAAAAAATAAAAATAATAAAAATTTTCAATTTATTTGTCCGAAAATGTCCTTTTGCACTTACCCTTTCATCTTTGGTAAATTTACAAACTGCAGACTTTTCAGAGTTTTTTGGTATTTGACATCATGATGTCATTGCTTGTAGTTAGCAAGATATTGCAAAATTTGTGTGTGACCGTGGGGTGAAATAGTGGTTACATAAAAAAAACTGCGGCGAAATGGGAAAAAAACACTACGCCATGAATAGTTAAGGAGCTCCTAAATACCAGACAAATAAAAGGGTACTTGAAGATACACAAGGATCAGGCCGAAGGGCTAGAACTCAGATGGCCGCTGGATCGGAAAGTAAAGTAAAGTAAAGTTAGACACACAAGGATGAAAGACTCTCAAGCATTCAACATCTCTTATAGTATAACTATCACTCAATATTCTTCCCAATCCACCGTGATATCATCAAAGCTTGTCCTCACCGCTGATTGTGCCTGGACACGTGCACCTGCAGGGCCAAGACGTCCTCCATATACTTCTCTCTGGGCGTCCTGTAGTGAATTTGCTGATCTGTCACACCGACTATTGCCAACCTGAAACGAGAAAACAACTTAAAAGTGGAGCGAGCCATACTAGGAAAAGACTGGGAACAAAATACTCCAGCTAAAGAGCACCCTCTCCCTGTCTCTTACACAGGGGCGCACCTTTAACTGGTATCCAGGGATGCCACAGTGATTTTGAGAAAATACCTGAAAATCTATGAAACTGCGTTGCTTTTGCAAATAAAAAGACATTTAAAAGAAACAACTAATACGCGGTTGAGGAGAAAGCAAATGCGGAGTAAAATAACTTCTTTTGGTGAAAATAATGGAAATAACCAGAAAAACAGCATCCCTAGATATCATGTTGAACAAATACATAGATCAACCTTGTTTGATTCGTCAATGTGACACTCTTACGCTCAAGATAATTTCTTTGAATGACCAAAGAAAAAAGAAAAAAAAGGTGTTAAAGGGATGGAAAACCCACACTATATATCACACCTCAACAATAAGAACACACAACACTTAAAGGTGAAAAAGGATCATTCCACGAAAAAAGATACCGCAGTGACAAACACAACAGAGAAACGATGACTTACTGAAAAAATTATAAGCAAGGATTGACCAAATTTACTCTGCAAATGAATATTTACCAAAGAAGATTGTTGGTGTCCTTTGACAGCTTCCACGCTAGTTCAAACATGACCAAAGCTGCCTGAAACAGATCAACAATGTTTTAGTAAGAGTTTTACGGCACTTGCAACAAAATTCGGTCATATTACTGCCAAAGATTAGAAGTGTTACAAGAGAGTAACAAACACAAAAAAAGGAGGAGATATAACAGTGATAGATATTCAATACGAAAGAAGGAGCAAGCCACATCAGAGTACCCGCTAACCACCCAGATCCAACAAAAGAGATTTTTAGCACAATTTGTATAATCCTGACTTACCCTATAAAACATTACACTAAGAGAGTAACTGAATACAATATGGCTAGGAATTATTTGTCCATGTTTCTGCCAACAGAATTTCTCTGTTTAGTAAGAAAAGGAAAGCACAAACCATTTGAGACAATATAAAGTAGTCAACAAAACGAATTTTCTATGAAATTACAGAATGGTCAAGACACGTTGGAATGAAAATACTTTCTCATTCATGGTCAAGATCCTTAAAAAATTACAGAGTGAAACATTCTCAGAAAATACCAAAATGTTACCATAGCATATAAAACCTCAAGATGTGACGTCTACACCTGACATCTTGATGTGTCTTAGACGCACTGTTCCGACTTCCCATGAAACGGTGGGCGGCAATTGTAATCAATGTTTGTAGTTATCTCAGTGGATATATAATTGGGAACAACAAAAAACTACAATATATTCTAGTATTATGTAAATCAGGTACACAAATTCATCTAACATTTTATCAGAGATGAGCACAACTTGCTACCCAAAAAAAATATTTTTTTAAAAACTCTTACTATCTTATATGTGATATATAATTTGCACTTGACACATTCAGAAGAACAAAAGTAACAATGACTTACAGAAGTACCAAATGACGTGAACTTTGTATAGTCAAACAGGAGCTTCACCCTGAGGAAATAGGTGAAACAAAAATATGATAATCAAAACTTTCATAGAAAGTATGAGCTTTGCATATCAATTTTAGCTGTTTTGTTTTTGTTTGTTGTTTTGTTCTGGGGTTTTTTGGTGTTTTTTATTGTTTGTTGTTTAGTTGTTTTTTTGTTTGGTTTTTATTTTGGTTTTTTTGTTGTTGTTGTTGTTGTTTTGGGGGAACAGACGATTATGAGAAGTAGATTTTTCTCTCGTAACATCTTTTGTCTGTAGAGGGGGGGGGGGGGGGGGGAGGGAAATAGGATACATCTCTGGCGTGAAACGGTCACTGCAAGCATCAATAATAAAGAGTGTTTTTCTATAATAGCTCATCGCTGTTGATAACTTTTTAGCAGTTAAGGGAAAGTGCACATAAAATGTACTCTTCTGCGATACAAAGAAGCCAGCAACCATGCTTGAATTTGATTTGGTTAAATCAGTACATCATGTACCTTAAACCAAACTTGTGACAGCCAAGGACATTCCGACTGCTCAGTGCAAGACTCAGTCATATGCCATTTTTCAAAATGGTGCATAGCAGATTTCACTAAGCAGTCATAGGTATTTTTACGCATCCATCAACACAATTTAGATCATTTAGGAGGCGGACTTTTACATTATCTGTCAGAGCCAACCCAGGTTGAAAAGGTTACAACTTCATAACTGCTACATAACAGATGCCGGTAACTGAAGTATATATGCAAACAATTTAAACTATACAAGACGACACAACAGAATGAAGAAAATCCATGATTTCCTTGAACTCAATGCACCCATCTTTTTCTCACATTTGTTGACCTGATGAGTCATATACGCCAGCATATTGGGACATAGTATGTAGACATCACAAACACATCTACATCTTTATATACAGACCAGAGATTACCTTTTTAACAGAGAGGACGTGGAAGTCAACTATACTATTCAAAGACATAAACAGTCATAACATACAGTCTTATGAGATAGAGTCAAAGAAAGCAATTGATCATTGATGCATTTCCCAAGGAACCAGTTCAAATTCTCTTTCAACACACAAAAGTTCTCAAAGAGGCAGAACCTCTTTAAGTTCATTTCTGATTTTACCAAATGAAGAGTTGTTAGAAGGCCATTAAAACACCCCCCCCCCCCTTCCCACCCTCCAAAAAAAAAACCAACAAACAAAATTAAAAACCCAAAACACTCCAACTTAAGTTAGAGAATGTGTCAAGGGAGAATCGTTCACCTTGGTACCAAATTGAGCTCTGTGTTTTTACATTAAAAGTGAAGTGGCCTCTTCAACAACACAATGTTTGAGATCTGAAACAGTTCATTGCGGCATCTGAAGTTTCCAAACTTGTTCTAGTACCTCACCTATTTTCCTTCCATCGTCTTCTCTCTTGTCGACGAAGAATAGCCTCATCATCAAATCTCTTTTTCTTACCCCCAAGCTCTGGATCATCATTTTCTGTGTCTGATTCACTTGACTGGGGAAAAAAAACAACATACAAATTCATTCATCAAAATCCAAGGATGGGATAATGACTTGCACGTGCGTGTCTCAAAGTAACAATGCTACTGAAACTTATTCATCTTGAGCGAAATGAAGAGTCAGTCACTTGTAACTATTTTACACCCCATCACCACAATTAAGAAGACAAACAAGGAAGGTTGCTCTGACCTTGCTTACCATGGCCACCTTTGTATTTGGGGGGGGGGGGGGGTTATGAAGACATCCTGTCAGAGTTGTCTGAAATCTCATCAAAACTTCAGTCAGACACTGCTCAGCTTGACAATTGTGTCAATTTTGTCAAGGCTAGTGCAAACACACTCACACCAATGATAACCAAACCTCAGTAAACCAGTAATTTTCTATATTGTGTGTGCCAAACATATTTTCAATATTCTGATCCAGTCATTAAGTCATATGACATGCTGATTGTTTAGGTCTTTTTTATACAACATGCTTTAAGACATATTTTCAAAACTTGTTTTCACTTATCATAGTCATAATCTCATAACTGTTTAACAACAGTTTTTAGTTATTCATTCTTTTTTTTTACATACAAGTTCATAAGTTGTTTTCACTCCTATTTTCTTACATGCAAGTTCAAAATTTGTTTTCATTTTACCACTACACCGCCTGAAAACCACTGTTTGAATCTCATTAATGATCAATGTCTTACCTAATTGGTCAAATCATTCACTGTTTTCTATTGTGCCCTATTTCCAACAGTCATACACATTATGCATTTTAATCCAATCAATGAGGGGTAGTCATAAAGGCATTTATGTCAGATACAATCGTGATCGTCTGATTTAAAACTGTGACTTTTAGTGCTTTTGTTTTGAAGTGATTTTACTGTGATTTAGATTCTACTTACTTTTCATTCATAATTTTACAAATTTTATAATGTTCCAATAACTTTATACTTTTGTAGAGAGTAAGAATAAATTGTATTGTTATAAACGCTGTGATGCATGACCCAGTATTACCAACTTTAATCAACAAAATGATCCCCTGTGAATTTTGCCTTGGTGCCCTAACAAATTGCCTGGACGCCCTCTGATTTTTAGGCCACACCTAGGCAATTTTTGCCTGCCCTCTTGAACACCTAATTCAAGCCCTGCTCTAGCTGTGTAGGAATACATCCTATATCAGTAGTCCAGCATTAAGTTTGACAGAGAAAACAGATAGAGACAGAGAGCATACTTCTCTTTCTAGCACTAATAATAATAATAATAACACTTCATCCATCAATATCTGACGATGACCAATGTACCTGCAAAGGATAAAAATATTTCTTAAAAAGAAACAGAAAACAGAAAGATTAAGAAGAGTGGCAGCTTCCGCCATGGCTAACAAGACCAATTCTGGCAAAGAAGATTATACAACATTTTGGGCTTTCAAAAGCTTTAATTCTAGTTGTTGATGTGTGCAACTTGTAGGCTTCTCTCTTGACTTTAGTATTTCTAATTCGTGAAGCCTCAAATGATTACCAGGCCTCTGTGATAGCTGCTCTCCAGCTGGGTCTGTCAGGCACTAGGCTCTCCCAAGTCAAGGGATCAACATTGAAGCTTTTCAGAGACGATTCTAGGGTGTCTTTACAGAGCTTTTTTTCTAGCACTAAAAACGGCTCTTCTCACATGTAACCATCACTCCCCTAATGTTGTTGTGTTTTTTTATATTTTAGTAAAAGTTTTACTGTACTTGCAAAACAAATAGGTCATATAAATGCTGAAGATTAGAGGTGTTACTCGAGAGTAACCAACATAGTAGAAAAGAAGGATGATAGATGTCTGATAGGAAAGAACGAGCAAACCACACCAGAGCACCCACCAACCACCCACACTCACCTCGTCATCTCTAAAGACCTCATCATAGCTGGGAACTGACAATTCCTCTCCCCTCATCAACAACTTGACCTGCACAGCATTGTAATAGTTGTGGATGTCTACGGGGCGATGACTGTCAAGAGAAAATATACCATGGTATGATTATGCTCAAAATATTTCCTTTCTCAAAGAATTTAAGGCTTTTGTCTGCTAGAACAGCCAGCTTTCAGAGAAAAAAAAAAAAAAACAGTTGCTGAGTAAAACTTATAGTAAGTCTGTGCAATATCAGTCATATATCAATAGAAACCCAATATTATCACAGTAAAATATCTTGTCAGTTTGTTGGTGTTTTAGCAAATGCAAGCCTCAGCTTGCACTGTATGCCACCTCTTACATACACAGACCTCTGACAAAAAGAAGGACGCACTGACATAGAGATAAATTAGCTATAACAGTAGTACTCTTAAAGCAAATTAAAGTACCCAAAGGGCAGAAATCTTCAAGTTTTAATAAAAGAACAAGACCAAGAGAGCAAAAAAGAAATAAATAAGATTTACCAAATCTCAGTGCACATACCTGTCACAGATGTAGAAGCGAACATTGTCTTCTGGTTGAAGAAGTTCCACAATATCTACAGAAGCCCCACAGTTGATCAATATCACATGTTTTATCTGCCAATGAAAAGTTTCACAATAATAACAGTGAAGTCCACTTGGACGACTATTGATTAAATAAAAACATAAAACAACGGAATAGGCTTCACTATAATTTAATAATAAATAAGAAAAAGAAAGATTAATAACAGAAAATATATATATGACCCGGTATGTCTGAGATAACAGAGCTGTCTCCAATAAGACTAGGTACAGTGAGTGGAGTGCCATGAAGACTCCCCAAACAAATGCTTTATTATGGATTCAAACCAGTCATTCACATCATAGTTCAACATGGTATCAAAGTAAAAGTGTGTCCGTTGGAAAATTAAATGTGCATGCATGGCAAAACATCTTGAAAATTGTTGGTACCAGAACTAATTGGTGGGAGGTTGTAGGGTACCACTAAGAGGTCCTCTTACTTCTTTACTCCCTCTCTGTTTTTTCAGTCCATTCAGTCTAGCTGGGTATCTAAGCATAATCTTTGTCAAAAAGTCTCAGGTAAAATTTTTACTGAAAATACATTGAAACATATATCATTATTACATAAACCTATAGACATTGTAAATAAAGGAAAACCCCACAAACGTACCCCTTCTGCATTTTCAAGAAATGCATTTTCCACTCCTTGAAGCCCATTGACTGGCACTACTGTGTACAAAACTTGATCACATTGAAACAGGTACTGGAAAAAGAATTTGTACAAATGTTAATCCTGAACAACAAAATCATCTATAACAAAATCAACAAACAAAGACATACTTATACTAATTTATAGATATAAAAGTTATAAAAAAAATAAAAATAACCATCTTCTCCCTAGTTTTTTAAACACAAAATGTGCTCTAAGATCCCAGCCTCTAAATGAAAACAAGACGATCTTTGAAAAACTTTTCCCTCTTCATTACTTTACTTACTTTTACTTTACTTTTTCATCCTCTGTTGCCGTTAAGCGCCAAGGGGAGATGCAGTTTTCTATGGCAGGCCAGCTCTTCAGCTCTTTCAGTTGTGATATTATGTTTTCTCAGGGTTTCCAGGGGTTTCCTTGACACCGTCGATCCATCTTTTGTTTGGCCTTCCTCTTCCTTTATAGCCTGAGTGCTTGGTGTTGTAAACTCTCAAGGCCGGTTGGCCAGGTGACATACGTAACAGGTGGCCAAACCATTTTATTCTCTGTCTTTCTATTTAATGCAGGCAGGACTCAAAGCCGATAGCTGCTCTTACTTCTTCGTTTCTCTGCCTGTCTCGTCCTGTGATGTTTAGGGTTTTGCGGAGACATTTCATTTGCAATGCGGTGATTTTGCTTTCATGGGTTTTGCTTAATATCCAGGTCAGACACTGGTGGCATAATGTTAGTATTAATATTGAGGTGATAGGCTGTGTTCATGGAGATGTTTGGGTGAGATAGGAGGGGTGCGAGCTGGTAGGTGACAGCATTGGCTTTTTGGGTTCGCATTTCTATTTCTCTGTCTATGGACCTGTTTTCAGAAAAAGTACTGCCAAGATATTTGAACTCCTTCACCTGTTTCAGTTGTTTACTATTGACATGTATGTTCAGGGGACTACAGTTTCGGTTCACTTTCATAACATCTATTTTTCATGAGCTTATTTTCATGTTAAATTTTTTGCAACTGTTTTTCAGTTCGGTAGTGTGATTTTGGAGGCTTTGTTGGTGCGGGTGAATAAGACATTGGTCGTCTGCGAATAGAAGTTCACTGAGGCTTTCTGAGCTTTAGTTTGCGTCTTGCATTATTGTGTCCATATATATATATTATAAACAGGAGGGGAAAAGAACGCATCCCTGTCGCACTCTACATCTTACTTTGAACAAGTCTGTATTGCCTTCCTTCGTTCTTACTGAGCTTCTGCAGTTGGTATATAGAGCTTTGACATTATCTAACGTTTGTCCTCTGACGCCATACTTTTCTAGTGTCTTCCAGAGTTTTGCATGGTTTACTCTGTCAAAAGCCTTCTCCTGGTCTATACAGACGATGTTGGATTCTTGGTGGAGTTTGATTGTTTTCTCACATATCTGTCTTAATGCGAATACAGCATCCGTGCATCCTCTTCCCTTTCGGAATCCAAATTGAGCTTTGCTCAGATTTCTCTCTACAACGGCAAATAAATTTTTGTCAAACGAAATCGAGGCTGTTAAATTGTTTTTGTCAAACTAAAAAAAACCCAACAACATAGTGATTCCGCCAAATTCATAACAATGGACAGCTCTTTCATTTCCCAGCTTTCTCCCGTATATTTTTGTTTTCCTTCATTGTCATTGTGTTCCTGACCAGGAAACTGACATTCCTGTCATTTTCATGTTTTCCCTGTTGAGTTTGAAGCCTAAAGATTACAGACCACTAACTATACCTTCAAGCTAAAAAAAAAGTATCAAAACACTGATTTGGAAAAGATATCTGCAGGAGGAGCAGACCGTACAGTTGTACCATACATAAACCAGGGGTTACCAAAATTTTTTCAAAGTAGGCGAGAGCACATACTGGAATACTATTTTGTTCAATACATTACTCTGAAAACATGAAAAAAATACATAACTAAAGTAAAAGCACATTTAATATGCACTGTAACTGTAGCAGTTCAGTGAAATGAATAAAATAAAACTGTACAGTGGAACTCGGATTCAAGGAAGGCGCCAGGCCTGACCTAAAATCTTGTTGAATCTGAGTGTTCGTTATAGCGAACAAGAGGTTTTGAGTAGATAATTACATGCACTGAGCAAGTAATGTCATGTATAAAGAGAAGTCACAAGTAGAGCCTGAAATACCTACATATTATGAGCTGTGTAAAAAAAGACTGATTCGTTCAAATGCACACGCCCGTGTCATCTCGATTGTTTACCAAAAAGTTGTGTTGCTGTGTAGAGCCTAGCATACGGCAACTTTTGATTCCATAGACCAGCGCACAATTCATTACGTAGATCTACGTCAAGACTAACTTATCATTGTAATAATGATCAGTTGCCGAGGGGGAAAAAAGACTTTGACGAGTTTGTATCTGCGACGTTCAACGCCCAGACCGCTAGTCCCCCCCCCCCTCCCCGACACGCACACACAGCCACATGTGTGCAGGCCGCCCATCCGACCTCGACACACACTAGCCTATATTAGACATGTGCGCATGCCAACAACGCAAGTGTTGGTATGAAAAAAGGCAGCTGATTGGTCGCATGAAATCGGTCAAGTGAATAATGGTTCACGATGCAGGTGCAATGGATGGTTTCCAGGAATAGATCAAGTTCGTTGTGGGAGAAAAATGAGGCAAGCCACATCTGCGAGGGCTATTCACCCTGGAAGCGACCTCATTGAATCCGAGTTCACTGATTTAAGTGCTTGTTGAATCCGAGTTATTTTGATTGATTTTAGAGAAGCAAAAAAAACGGGGAATCTATCTCATCTCGTTGAATCCGAGTTCTCGCAGAATCCGAGCTTGTTGAAACCGAGTTCCACTGTATTTGTGAGTAAGTCTTGAGTTTGAGCCTGCTATAATCACACCTTCCAAGTTTTTTTTCTTTCACATAATGGCAGGCCAGACAAATCAAATTGGTACTATTTGACCTAGCAGGCTTCATCTGGCGTGCAGGTCGTAATTCGGTGACCCTTGACTTTAAACCAAACATCTACCCGAGCAAGGAAACAGTAACAAAAATAGATTAAGAAGCAAAGAAAATAACGCCTATTTCCCTATTTTTTCCATTTTTTAACATACCTGTAAAATTTTGCAGGCACACAGAGCATCAACATCGAATGCTACCAGAATGAGGACGCGCTGAGGATAAATTGGACAATTTAGACCAAAAGGTGGCGATTAAAAAAGCATCCAAACTACACTGATGAAACAAGTACGTTCATAATTTAAAGTAATTATTGGAGCAAATAGTTCTCCACATGATTGAAGCCTATAGAACGATATTCATGAAAAAAAATTATTACAATCTTTAGAAAAAGCAGAAACTTGACATGATTTTGACATCGGTACAGCGGTGGTGAATTAATTTACTTACCACATTTATTTTGTCCCAGATACTTTCTCCTAACTCTAAACAGATGGAACTGTTCACGTGCATATAACTAAGGCACATTAGACTACTTAGACTAAGGGATCTGTAAACTTGAGAGAATTCAGACTTTTGCGATGAGTCAATGACTGTAAATTAGGATATGGGTCATTCCACCTATATTGGGCTCCCATTGTGCATGTTCAAAATGAATCCAAGACAGAAAACTTCATGTGTCTAACAAAAAATTCTACACGATGACCCTGCTCAGTTTTTTATTTTACCAAAGAATCAGTTCACAGCTGGGTTTGCTAAAAAAAATGCATGTCTATTTGTGTATGTTAGAGTCAAAGTGACAAAATACATGGTTGGAGTGTTCCTGATTTTCGACACGAACCAGTCCCATTTTGCTCTTTCCACCATTCATGGATCAGGTCAAAAAATGCACTTGTTGTCTTTCCCCATGAAAGAGAACATTCCAAACTTTCATTATTTTCTAACAATGTTTTTGTGTTTCCTGAATGGTGTCAATTCTGTTTACAAAATACGGTTAGAAACATCACGCTTTTCATCCGGTGCGTGCCAAATGTCAGAGGCTCAACACACCCTTTGTTTTTCACTCACCACGGTACCGGTGCTCTTGTCCCAATCTACTGTCAAGTGACTCTCCCAATGCACAAGTTGCTGATGCCACAATCTTCCTGCACAGCAGATCGTATCGCGTGGAGCGTCCACATTTGCTTTTTCGTCCGATTGTGAGGTTTCTAACGTATCAATCTATTTTAAGAAAACGACATCATAGCTAAAACTATGTATTTTGGGAGTTCCAGTGGCTAAGTAAGTTGTGAGTTATACTCGAGTAATGTCAAGCAAGTGTCGGAGACACAGGGATCAGATGGGCGGTCACTGGGGTGTGTCCTTGAGAAAGACACGACAACCCTAGCTCAAAATACAGGTCGCTGCACAGAGGCGATCAACAGTGGCAAGGTTGTAAACTGTTCTGTATTTGTGTAATATTGTGTATTTATGTATGTATTTATCTATGTACGTATAAATTATAATTATATGTATTTATATGTATGTTTGTCATTGTAAACCAAAGTGCCCTACTGGGAAAAAAAAAAGTGTAATTTATTATTATTTATTAAAATAACAGCGCGTCCGAAAAGGGAGATCACTACAAGAACGTGCAGCACTTTCGTTTCATTCTCTACAATGGCGGACAGTGAGCAAGGTGGTCTTTTCTTTTTTTTGTCCTCCCAATTTCATTGTGTGAAGTTTCTAACATCAAGCGTATCATATACAGTCGAACCTGCCTTAACAGAAACCTGTCTTAACAGAATCTCCCCGCTCCCCCCTTGATACATTCCTCTTTAATTACCTGTATAAAACGGAAACCTGTCCAACGCGGAAACGGAAAGAAAAATCCGCTCCCTTCCGAGGGTTTCACCTGTCTAAGACGGAAAATGCAACGATGGCAGTGGTGGGTGGGGCTAAGGGTGGAATCAAATGAGATGTTCAAACCTTTCTGTTTTTAATAGGTCAAACAGTGGTCCTATGAAAGGCAAGCACTGGTGGTAATTGGACAAGTAAGACTGACGCATGTCATTATCAGACAGGATAGGAGCTGAGAGGTGTGAAGTTTTGACCACTGCTTGCCGATCGGACAAGCGATCCTTGATCCTACCGGCTGGGCCTTTGATCCCCCCCCTCCTCCTCTAAATTCCCCTAAGACGGAATTTCCCCCCCGCTCCCTCGCGATTCCGTCTTACACAGGTTCGACTGTATGTGAAGATTCCTAACGAAATATTTCATTGTGTCTGATCAGTTCTAAGTTGATGTGTAGAGTTGTTCCAAAAGCTATTTTACAAAATTACCTTAAGAGCACTTTGTAATGTTATGTTGTCTGTGTTTGGTGTTGTCTTGCTAAACGTCTTTCGGAAGACTATACTTCAAATGGGACAAAAAAAGCCATTCATGTCCAGTGTGACTTTTCCAACAATTTTAATTTTTCAAAAATGGTTGCTCCAGAACAAATAAGCATTCCTGTCACTTCCATTAAGTAAGCCGCTTTTGGTTTGCAGTGGCTTTATTGCCAGTATATTCTTTTTTTAGTTTTGACCAACAGTTATGTAGCTACAAGGGTAGAATGTCAACACATGTTGGAAATGCCACAGGACAAGGAAGATCCTGATGTCCTATGTGATGTTTCTGACAGCTTTGTTGATTTTGTTTCTTCGGTGCCATACAGCAAGTTGTCATCATGGTCCTATTGTTCCCCACAATTGTTGACATGCCATTTTTTGGTCAATTTCTTGAAAATGTATCTGAAACTCACTCCAGGCACAAATATGTGAGAAACATCAGTGGACAAATTTGAGTTTGTGCCCAGTCCATGTGACATTTTTAACACCTCATTTTGAACCTTTAATTACATTCCCTGGAAAAACTGAGAAGTTCTTGGGCTTGGCAAGGCTTTATAGAAACATAAAATACATACATGTATGGGTTTGGGGGAGCAGGGGCCAGGCTGGCTGGTTTAAGACTTGCTCCAAATCTAGCAGTTGTCTCTTAGTTTGTACACTTAGAACACATCTTGCATTCACTCTGGTCTTCAGCTTGGCAATAGATGGTTTTTGTCTGTTTTCTGACACTCCCAATTCCATCAAATTTTGCGGCTGGTTTGAATGTTATCTTGATAGCTCCTCTGTGAAATTTGTGTTTATACCAGTAATTTATAGGTCAGGTATGAATGACAGATGCTTTCATGGGGGGCTTAAATTGTTTTTGAGGATGTTTTGTTATACTTTGGCAATTGCTCTCCAGCCTACTTGACTCAATGTCTCTAATTCCATTATGTGAAAGTTAAGAATAAAAGGCCGTTTTCATTCGGACTCGAGTCCGAAAAACATTTTTTCATATTCGGACTCGAGTCCGAATAAAAAAAATTCTTATTCGGACTCGAGTCCGAATATGAAAAAATCTTATTCGGACTCGGGTCCGGAAAAAAGGAAGTGTCTTCGTTCTATAGATTTAACGTTCAGTGCTTCCAATTTTCCGCCCTTTTTTAGTTTCCCCCACACCTTTTCTGCCGATCCAATGCCCGCCGCTTCATTGATACGCCTCCCCCCCCCCCCCCATGTTTCCCACTTTCTTTGTTGTAGAAAAAGGTAAAATTGAAGATTAGCAGACCACCTGGTACCTGCATATTATGAGCTGTGTAAAAAAAAAAAAAAGACTGATTCGTTCAAATACACAAGCCTGTGTCATCTCGATTGTTTACCAAGAAAAAGTTGCGTTGCTGTGTAGAGCTGAGCATACGGCAACTTTTGATTCCATAGACCAGCGCACAATTTATTACGTAGATCTACGTCAAGACTAGCTTATTATTGTAATAATGATCAGTTGCCAGGGGGAAAAAAGACTGACGAGTATGCCACGTTCAACGCCCGGACCGATAGTGCCCCCCCACTCCCCTCCCCGACATGCACACAGCCACACGTGTGCAGGCCACCCATCCGACCCCGACACACGCTAACAAGCCATCCTTCAATGCTTCTGATGACCTCTTGACAAATAAACATTTATTAGAAGCGCTATAACTTTTCAGGCCGGCCTCAAATTCATCGTAAGATAAAAACTCGGCTCCTGCACAAAACGCCATTTTGCCCGAAGTGATCCCGGTCTCTATCCAGCCTGAGACGAGTCACGAGTGAGGGAGGACAGGAAGCCGGAGTCACGAGTCACAGGAAGTCGGAAGTGATGTCATGCTGGATAAGAATCAGAGTCCGAATAACATTTTTTCATATTCGGACTCGAATCCGAATTAAAAATTGTTGGTGAACTCCGCAATACATAATACATGATTATGATGAGATTGCCCAATCTCTATGAAGCCTTCAGCTTAGATATATATCTAGATCTAGATCTAGATATCTAGATCTAGATCTAGTTCTAGATCTAGAATCTAGCACACTAGATCTAGCAGAGTACTTTTAGCACTCACAAAAAAAAGTCTGACTGCTATGCTTATTAGCTAGCCTAGCTTGGGCTTGGCTTACCTGATGTTGAAGAACATCGTAAAAGTCACGTCTGAAATCTTTAATAAGCATAATTTACAGTTGAGTCAAACAGACTGAGACCTGGGAATCACCAAAACTTTGAAGTAGAAGTTCACATGAATTAAAAGGTGGGTATATTTCAGAAATACAACAGTAGATGAGTCTTGGTTTCTTTCAGACTTCACACAACCCCGCCATTTCGTCGTGAACTCATGATGAACTTACATGACCTGTGACCCCAAACAGTCGGAACAAGCTTTGGTACTGCAAAATCTATTCGCTCTTTCGGTTAAATCTTCTTCAGTATAAATAATATTCTACAGTACTTCGTTTTTAAGCTTAACTATTGTAAAATAGCAACAATTTAATGCAATAGCAAACTAATCCTTACACCCAAAGATGCAGATGTCTAAACACCCCTTTTCTAACACATCATATTATGTGAAAATAATACTTTTATTTCTAGGTGTAAATAGCACACGCATGCGCAGATGAGTGCAAAGTGGTGTCCATTGATATAATAAGAACTTCCTGGTCGATTCTGGATGACAGGGGACGTAAATAAGATTTTTTTTCTTGCATTGCAGTTTCTTTCTCCACTCTTCTAACAAAGGTCCTGTGCACGTCAGTCAGTGCTGTGTCTTGTGTGTTTCTTCCAACGTTGTCAGTTTTAATTTCTTTGCGGATTATTGCTGAGGTGCACTGTTTGACAAAAGCACCAGAGAAGTCTATTCAAGATTCATTTGTGGGATGGTACATCGTTGCAGCCTTTGCTTTGCTGTGCAAGATATCCATCTGCAGCCACGACGCCAACAGATACTATGCTAAACATGGCAAATGAGTTCAATAATAACAACTATTTACCTGGATTTCCTTCAGGTAGGTTAATGTTTGTTGTGCACAGGACGTTGCATTTCATTTTAATCTCATTGACATTGACGATTTAGTTGTTTGAGGCTCTAAGTAGAGCCTGTTCAACTATCTGGTAAGGAATTTCGATCTGGATGCATTGCGTGCAGGCTAGACAAATCAGTTTTGGCAAGTGGGGATATAGATCTAGATCTAGAATCTAGATCTATATATGGGAGATCAGCTTTCCAGTATTCGTCCAGACGTCTCTTAAATGTGTCCACGTTTGGAGCTGACACCACTGATTCGGGGAGATTGTTCCAAATAATATTTATTAAAACCCTATTCTCAAAAAAGTTTGCCCTCACACACAATCTGCTTCTTAACTTTGCTTCTGGAGCTTCACTACGGCACGGAGTTGTGTGGTGGTTGTTGCCTTTGTAAACGCTGCATGGTCTTTCAGTGATCATGTAGATCTAGAATCTAGTAGTAGCCTTTGATGTATTTGTACGTTTCAATCATATCACCAGGTAACCTACACTACAATGTTCCACGGATGGAAGCTTTAGACTTTAGTTTTTTCAGTCTTTCAGAATAAATAGGCTTTTCGGTAAATTTTTACTTTCACTCCCGCACACAGATGCACTGTTTCAGGGGTCAAACTGCTGTACTGTTTGCTGCAGATCACACATAAAGCCACTAAAACTGTCGCAAATCAATTATTTTCAAGACAATTTCAAATTTAACTGTAAAATATCAAATTATGGGTGTAAAAACAGGGGGGCATGCCCCCCTGTAACCCCCCAGATTTTCTTTTACCCCAGTTTGGCAGGCCCCCCTGGAACCCCCCGATTGGTCCAAAGCGTGTCTATCTCGGTTAAAAACAATCAAATATTTCAAAAACTATTAATTTGCGACGGAAATGAAGTTGATATTCGTGTTCAGCGCATCAATATTTAGTAGAAAATAGACAACTGGTAGCTGAGTGTGAGACGGGAGGGAAAGGAAAAAAATACCGGCTTTTCTTTGAGGTGGCTCAGCATTTTGGTAGCCCGCCTTTGAACTTGTTCAATTTCACTAACATAGATAGTCCTTTTTCAAAGGGTTGCCAAACACAGTGTATACTGTAATAAAGGCCTCACTAAACTCTTGTAGAGCAAAACGTTTGCTTTTGATGTTATCTGGGCTATGTGCTCCTTGAAGCCATCTATAGCCATACAATAAATAATCTAAGTCTAAGTGGCTAGTACGCCGTACGGCTAGACTGCCAGTCTAGCCGTACTTAGAGTTAGAGGTTTGGCCCTATCGACTCAAGCCTGTTAAGTACACAGGTCTCATTAGATCGAGATCTAGATCTAGTAATTATTCAGGTTCAAATACATGAAAGTCAGTAAGGCACCTTTTGGTTTTGTCTGAAATACAAGATACGGTATTTTTTTCCTTTCCCTCCCGTCTCACACTCAGCTACCAGTTAGTTGTCTATTTTCTACTAAATATTGATGCACTGAACACGAATATCAACTTCATTTCCGTCGCAAATTAATAGTTTTTGAAATATTTGATTGTTTTTAACCGAGATCGACATGCTTTGGACCAATCGGGGGGTTCCAGGGGGGCCTGCCAAACTGGGGTAAAAGAAAATCTGGGGGGTTACAGGGGGGCATGCCCCCCTGTTTTTACCCATAATTTGATATTTTACTGTTAGATTTGAAATTGTCTTGAAAATAATTGATTTGCGACAGTTTTAGTGGCTTTATGTGTGATCTGCAGCAAACAGTACAGCAGTTTGACCCCTGAAACAGTGCATCTGTGTGCGGGAGTGAAAGTAAAAATTTACCCAAGATACTTTAACTTTAGGCATTGCAAACTAAAAATTTCATTTACAATTCAGCTATCAATATGTACGGCTAGACTGACAGTCTAGCCGTCCTTAAGTACGGCTAGCCTGCCTGTCTAGCCGTACTTATCTTCCTGCCCTATTAACATTAGAAAACAGGAGGTTTAAAATACATGATGCACTGTCATTAAGGCACCTGGTTTCGTCTCAAATACAAATACTTTAGGTACTGCACAATTCAGTTGGCCTATTTTTTTTTAAATGGTCAGTCTAGCCATCATATATTAAGAATAAGTACGGCTAGACTGCCAGTCTGGCCGTACTTATGTACGGCTAGCCTCTTCCATAAATAATCATGCGATAGGTTCTTTCGGAATGCTGATTGGGTCTCACTTACAACTCTTACTTGAAAGTGAACAGTTCTGGCTGGTTATTTGCTGGGTGATCTTGTATTCTTTTAGGCCTAGACTAGATCTTGCAGTTCCGTTCGCTTAAGTCCATGATCCATTTGTTTACATCCATAGCAGAAATCCATAAGTCTTGATGACCAAATAAGCAACACAAAGAACAGGGATGCAACCTAACTGCAAAACATCAAATTATGGTTAAATTCAGGGGGGCATGAGACTCCCCCAAGTTGTTGTTTTTTTGGGGGGTGTCCTCCTGAAATCCATCTACTCTTGACTCGTGGGGCCTTAACCAGCGAATTATAATTTGGGGATGGGAACTACCGAAAAAGCGCCATTCTTTGCTTGAATTTTGATTTTCTGGCATCAGTAGTTTCCTAGTCTCATGCTTTTAATTCAAAATCAATTCCTCAACGATGGCTATCTTGCTATTCAAGGTCTCTGGCTTTCAACTTTGTTTGGACTTCAACGAACGAAGCTGCAAAATCGCCATTTACTTAACTGTCACAGCACCCATCAACAATGTAAATTTTATGTTTAATTTGTGTAAGAATAGGCCTAAATATAGAGATTCTAAATCTAGATATCTTAGTTGGGGGGGGGGGGGGTAGACTCTAATGGAACTGTCTCATACTCAGAATATAGGCTTTCTAAAGCACTTTTCTTGTTGTTCTTTTTTATCTGCTTTGCTTTGAATTTTGACTGTATAAGTTTATTATATCCACAGAAAAATTTAGTTTAGTTTTTCTAAGTACCGAGCAGTACTTGTCCTTAAGTACGGCTAGCCTCCCAGTCTAGAGGTACTTAGGCTCGAAACCTGTCTTGGCCCCTGTTATTTCTCTGTGTGTGGGGTTCTGGTACCACTAAAATTATGACAACGAAGTGGCTATTCGTACCCGAGTCTGAATAGCCTCCAGTAGCTATTTCAGACTCAAACTCCTTGTGCGGATATATAGGGTTGCCCATTGGGGAATCGGACTTGGTCGGGGCGGTTCGCAATCCTGATAATGAGGGCACAAAATGGCTATGGTGGCATTTATAATAAGCTGATCGCTCCCGACTAGTCGACTAAAAAAATGCGTTTTTGCTTTAACGCGACAAGTGGGGCGATCGCCCACAACCCGACCTGATCTAATCCTCAATGGGCATCCCATTTAAACACTATCAGAATATGTATTGTATTGTCCTGATTTTGAACATCATGTAAAATATGCTGTTGGAAAAGCCTTTTCCTTTAGTAGACCCCTGTTACTTTGACAAGAATGACTTGTTTTATTTGTTTTAGTAGAGGTTTTACGGCGCTCGCAACTGCATATATATGAGCGCCAAGGGGTGGATGTCAACAAAGATTAAATCCTTACAGGGAATCAGACTTACTCTGCTCAACCCTCTAGCTTCAGCAGCACAATGACAGAGTCTGCTTCGACTATCAGAATTATACAGTATACCCATAAAAATCAAATATGGATGAAACTTTTTATTTTTTTAAATTTTAAACACCTGGAATTGATGACGACATGTGCCTGATTTCACCATGATGCCTCACAAATACTTTAGGTATTACAAACTAAAATTGTATTTACAATTCAGTATTTTTTATATTTAGTCAGTCTAGCCATCGTTAAGGGAAGACCCGGGTCGGCGATCCCAGACAATATCGATAACATTTTTCGAACTATCCTACTTTTGTTTTTTGCGGGAAAAAAGTACGGCAAGCCTAGCCGTCTAATTGTCATTAAGTACGACTAGCCTGCTAGTCTAGCTGTCTTTAAGTACTGTGACTAGCCTGCCTGTCTAGATCTAGCCGTCCTTAAGTACGACTAGCTTTGGCGTCTGGCAGTCATTAAGTATGGCTAGCCTCTTCCTTAGTTTTATTGAGAAATACGAACTTGATCTATATTTCAGTATGGCCAACGGCTTTGTAATATTTGGCATGTTTAGATCTATAGTAACATGAGGGGTTTCAGCCCTGTCCGCCTTAAAAAAATGGGGGGGGGGGGGTGTCAGGGTGACTGAGACGGTGGCTTGCCCCTCTGTATTTCACCATAATTTGATGTTTTTGGCAAAAATTAGATTTGATATTTTCTTGAAACTGTTGATTTGCAAAAGGGTTTTATTGGCCATATATATATATATATATAATATATTTGTGTGTTCTGCAGCAACAGTTAACAGGAAATGTGGTAGGCCTAGTCGAATTTCACCCAATTCCCTGAATTTTCAAAATCTGAATAAAATGTTAGACGGTACTTTTTTCCCCTCAAAATTGTGTTCTTCAAAGTCACGTTGCTTTAAGAATTTAAGTAGAACAGAAAAAATCCAGAGCCAATATATCATGTTACTGCGATGGGAGAACAAAGAAAAATTGACACCTGTAATCAAACCTTGTTGTACCACCAACCCCGCTTACTGCCAGGTTTTGCCTATGTACAAAAAGAACTCCCTATATAAACATAGTATTTGTGCTTCTCTGTCCGCCAACTGTCTCAGTTGTACGGTCCTTATTCAACTTTGTAAATTTATCCCGCTGTACTGCCAGCGAACTGGCCGCCAGAAGTACACAGTACACACGAAGCACGGCAGGCCTAGGTCTTGATCAAACGCTTTTTGCAGATTTGCTCCCTTCCTACTCATCCTACTTCCCTACTCCTCTGTTTTGTAGATATTTCAGGCAATAAAATTTTATATATATATGTGGGTAGATCTATATAGTGATATAATGTGTCGCAAGTGAACACAACATATTTTTTTTTTGGTGTTGTAATATAGAAGAGTACAAGTACAATTAAAATAAAACATAACTTTGTAATTCAGCATCAAACTTTGCTCACGTGTGAGTCCGACTATATTTGATACGCTGATTATAAAAATGCTCTTATTTTTAGACCTTGGTCAATATTTTTTTAAGAAATGGAATTACATTTTTAAGTCACATGGAGAAACTTTAAGGGAACCTCTTCATCTTGGCTGGCCCCCCGCAAAATATCTGTCAATTACTCATTACTTCATCTAGTGATTGGTAAACAGGTTCCCTTGACATTGGGCAGTCGATGCTACATACATGTTATTTAACAGAGAACATAGAAACTTCGTTGTGCCACCAATCTCATGCTTGTCCCAAGATTGACGGTATAACAGGGTTTGACTGTACAGTAATAGAAAAGGTTTTAAGAGGATCTAAGAAAGGGTGGTGATAGTATAATGGTACAGTGTGCAAAATGAGTTTAACAGTTGTTGTAGTGACTTTTTAAAAAGAATTTGAAATTAACTTTTTCATTACCATTGCGTTATAATGTTGTTCACATTAACTATACCCATGTGTATAACAAACACCTTCACAATTGATCCTACAATATTTTGCCTCTATGACTTTTATATCAGGGAGTGGCGACAATGTTGTTCGACTCTATCACGGTGAGGTGTAAGGAATAGAAAGGGGAGTGGAAACAATATTGACCTTGAGACTCAGGCATTCATGGTCTAATGAGTGACGTGACAGTGCCCTCACCTCATCATGTTAAGATTGGTTTTGATTTTGTGTAACTTAAAAAAAACCTGTTTGCAAACTAGTTTCTCAGTGTTACTGACTACTACCAGGTTTAGTCCCATTTCATATGATTTGTCTAGTCATTAATGTTTTGTGAAACTTAAATGGCCAACTTAAAACTACCATTAAATTAAAACTCTGTGATTATTATTACATATATATGTGAGGCAGAATAATGAAATCAGGCGCTCGTCAAAAATAATGAAATAGAAGAAACCAGCATTTTTCGGGGCATTTGGCAATTTTTGTCAATTTTTGTCAATTTTTTTTGCTCAGCACCTTTTATATCTTTTTAAAAACACATTTCTGTGTGGATGTTTCAGAAAGAGGTTGATTTAGGGCACAAAAAATGTAAATTTCCAGTTTCCATGGGCACTCACGCTTCGGAAGTCACCGAATTTTGGCAGCCATTTTCTCACTAATTTTACCTCTCACACCAGGCGACCCCTATCTCTTTAAATTATATTAAATCGCTATTATCTCGACTTCTATTCAAGATAGATGGGCTGTTTTGGGGGGGGTTTTTGCCAAATAACTAATGAACAAGCTTTAAGATGATATTTACTTCTCTATATGCCAAAAAATTGACGATCGTCTGATCCTACCCCATCGAGACACATAGTATTTATATATTAGCTTATATTATATCCCCGCTCCATAGCATGCTCAATGCATTTTATAACTAATATTACCCCAGCAGACTCTACAACACTCGGAAACATTCTCAACATCTTGAGAAGCTTACAGTGCAAGCTGCAGATTGCACACGCTTAAGCACTAACAAACTGACAAGATCTTCTGCTGACTATAGCCAGGTACCCATTCCTACCTGGATGAAGTGAGGAAAATTCATGAAAAGTGAGGCGTGCCTTTCCCAAGGACACAATGTCTGGTCCCTCAAGAGATTTGAACCCGTGACCTTACAGTCGCGAGTCCGAAAGCGAAAGGGTTTTTTTTTTCAAATTTTGAAAAACACAATATATTTCATTCAACTTGTGTCTTTATACATATGTTATAATAAACTTTTTTTACGCCTCTTTCAGATATCTCTGCAGCAACATTTGCACATGTTTTACCAACAGCTCTTCACTTCCGAAGTGGGTCAGTGCCGCAAAATAGTTTTACATTCACCACACCAACTCAGTGTAACACTTCTGCCACCCCTCGGCCTTGTATTCAGGTAAATATTGAAAAAACATTTAAAATCTTAGTCTTAACATGCTATTGAAAAAGAATTTTGTATATTTGTTTACTGGGTTTTATTTTTTCTCATATGAATTTGATGTCTGGTCCTTGAAAGGATTAAGCTGTCAAAAGTGGATCTTGAGGATCCATGCACAATAGATTTAAAGCAACAAAAACTTATGAACTCTCTGACCTTGACCCCTTATGTTATGACTATTCAAGCTGTGGTCCCCTTTCACTGTTTCCTGCCCTTAGTAAGGTGGGTGGACATAAGACCAACATTTGTTATTGCAAGCGTGCTGTTCAACTATTGTAAGCCCAGAAAGGAAAAAAACAACTTACAAGACATTTTTTTTTTTTTTACTGCTTTATTTCATCTACCAATATACATATATAGTATTTCTATACCTTTTTTTTTTCAACTTTTAGAATTTAAAATTTAAACAAAATATTTATCGAGCACATGCAACCAATATGGTACCACATATTTAGACCATTAAAAAAAATCAAATTTGGGCTTAGTAGTAACATCATGAACAGTTTTGGGACAATATGTTGACAAAAAGTTCAGACTAGATCATGTGTAATGGGTGGGTGGTTGGCGGGTGCTGTGGTGCGGTTTGCTCCTTCTTTCCTATCCAACATCTGTCTATTGTCCTGATCTCTTCCCGTTCTTGTTTGTGTTTGTTACTCTTTTTTAACACCTCTAATCTTCGGCATTTATATGACCTTATTGTGTTGCCAGTGTCGTAAAACTCTTACTGAAACAAAGTGTAATGGAATTCACAATTGTTTGTAATAGACCCACTGTAGATTTTTGCTGCTCTGTCTTTTTCATGTATTGTCAGTTGTATGTGTGTCCTTTTTCAGAGTGTTGAACTCCTGTCAGCCCCTCTTAGGGCGGATCTTTTTTCTGCACGATACGTCCTGCCTTAGTAGGCCATCATTATCATCATCATCATCATCATCATCATCATCATCATCATCATCATCATCATCATCATCAACATCATCATAATCATTGTAAATAGCAAGGAATAAAAAAGGGTTGAGAGTGGTAGAATTTTCAAAATTTATACAGGTTCAATGTTTCGCCCAGTAAAGGGCTTCATCAGGAACATGATATAAAAAAAACCATTTTCCATATCTTTTTCTTTTCCTGAGCTAGCTTCTTGACATATTTTTTGTCTTTCCACTTTTCTGGACATCATTCTCTGTGACTCTACTTCAGGTTCCACATGGCCTTCCCTTTGACCCTTTTCCCCTGTGGAAGGCATTTTACTTCAGCAAAAATAACTCAAAACCAAAACAATAAGCAAATATTTTATTTTTTTTTGCTCCTCAGACGACCAGCCGAATCAGCAACCTCAGTGCTCCAGGTGTGGGAGCGTCATGGCAACATTCCATTCCCACAACAATGCCGTGGGTCGCCACACAAGCTGTACCTATGCGCCAGGTTGGCCTGGGTAATGCCTCGCTTTTTACTGGCATCCCTTCGCAGTGAGTTTTTATGTTTTTTCATTGTTGTTGTAGTTGCTGTTGTATTTATTTTTTTCAGTACTTGAATAACCATTTAATTGTAAACTGTCCCAAGCTCATGGTCCCTGGCCGGAAAAACTCATTAGAAAAGAATGAGTTTTTATCACTAGCTTTTTGTTCTCTCTCTCTCTCTGCTCTCTTTTCTGGCGCTGTGGTGTCATAAAGGGTCAGGGATGCCAACAGCACACAGGAACTCAACACTTGCTCGGGGTCCTTGGAAAGCGCTTAACGTGGGTCCCTGAAATGTCCCAGCAGACTTGTTCTGGCACGATAGTTGGCAAGACTTTTCAGGAACACATGGTCCATAGTCTCATCCTACTCCTTGCAGGTGGTTGGTTGGCGGGTGCTCTGGTGTGGTTTGCTTCTTCTTTCCTATCAAACATCTATCGTCTTTATCTCCCCTCCTTCTTTTTTGTGTTTGTTACTCTCTTGGAACACCTCTAATCTTCGGCACTTATTTGACCTCATTGTGTTGCAAGGGTCGTAAAACACTTACTAAAACTAAAAAAAACTCCGTTCAGGCTTGATAGGACGGATCTGGGTAGTCCGCTGGCACAATTTTGTAGAAATATGATCTCAGCCTGGGCGATTTTCCACCAGTTCTCATTTGGGAGAGAAGCTGGCAGTCCTGTCATCTGAGCGAAGCCTCAAGCTGGTACGATGGCGGCTGGGCAGACGACAGTTTGGGTTTCGCCTCTCTCTTCCACTTTACGCAGGTCGACCGGTGGATGATGGCTTCAGCTGTCGAGAAATCGATTGGTGTGTCAGTCTGGGTAAGCGCTGTTGCTTCTTTGGCGATGCTGTCAACTTCCTCGTTCCCAGCCAGTCCAGCATGGACTGGAATCCACTGTAAGTGGATGGAACATTCGGAGCGTTGATGGAGGGTGTGCAGACACTGCCAGATCGAGCACGCCACCTTTTCCGTTTGGTTAGTAGGGCCGTATGAGAGGCGGATGACGAGATTGGTGCTTAATTTCAAGTTGCATGATGCAGCCTTCCACATTTGGTGGGGGTGTAAAATAATCAGCTCCTCACTTGAGTACATACCTAGTTCAGTTTCAGCTACGAGGTTCTGGGCATGCTTTCTCCAGCGGGACTTACCTGTCCGCATGGGCATTGATTTTGTTGCCGGCGGAGGCTCTTCGTTGATTCGTTACCGCCAGACGCATGGACTTCTAGGGTGAAATAGCGGTCAAGGCGTCTTAGCTTTTTGTTAAAGATTGGTGGGTGCTCAGATGTGGTCTGGTTTTGATTTTTCTTTTCAGTGCTGTTGAACCTGTCCATTAGGGTCACCCAAGACTACAGAAAAATATCTTGAGTTATGGTCACTTATTAAGACTTGATAAAGTCAACAGATACTTTAAAAGCTGAAATCTTAATTTTCTCTTCCCATGTCATATCCATAAAAATTGACAGACATCATAAGAGCTGCCGAACATATACACAGATGAGTTGGTGAAAAACTTTTGTAGCAATTGACTGCTAGGAGCAGATTTTTGAAGCTGACTTGTAACAAAAGTGACTGACCATTTCCGCTTTGAACAAAAACCGCTAAGGGCAGGTTAAGAAAATAGGAAAAACGCTAGGGGGTCATGGAACAGTGACATTTAGTTGACTTACAAGTGATAGTCATGGAGAGGTGACTGCTAAGGAAAGTTTGACTTGTAACTATTAGCAGGGTTCCCCATTCAACCGGGAAAATGGAAAAAATCCAGTTTTATTTTCAGATTTCCCGGTCGCTAAAACACCTTGAAAATGAATGAAAATGTATTGGAGACGCTATTTTCTGTTTGGCTACCCCAACCCATCCCCTCCTTCCCGGCACGTAGGTAAGGAAGAGGAAGATCCCAACAGTCTACATCTAACTTCAACACCCTCTGTGCTTAAAGCCTTGTAGTCACTCTGTGCCGCTGTGCCCTTAGAAAAACAATAGCTGGGAGTACAGCCAACATTATTTTGACAAGGTGTTTAAAAATTTCGGTGCCTTTGTGTTGTGGATGACAGCTTAGGTCAAGCTTTTAAAAACAACAAAAAACAAAAATAGATCCAGTTTGAAACTTTAAAAATCAGTTGCAGCGTTGTGTTGTGTATGTGATGCACAATCAGAATCAAGGGCTTCCAACGTGTCCCCTTGGTTTCTTTTGTTTTTGCAAATGTCAAGCCAACAGTCAATAAGTTACACCCTCTCCCCCCCCCCCCCATTTTTTGCCCTAAGTCGAGACCTCTTTCATCACACCTTTGTTTATGTTAGTTACCCAACAATCCCTGCCCTTGGCACTACAGGAAACGTGACCACCCACGTTACAATTTTATCTTGCGTTTCTCTTCATTTCTTCTTCCCTAGCTCTGTCATCTTTTTAAAAAAGCCATTTTGAAAATAGTTACAAAATCCAGGCGTCAACCAGGAAAAAGCCTGGAAATTTTTTCTCCTTGATGAGTGGGAACCTTGTAATAGCTTAATATGTTGTTTTTTTGCAGAATGTCAGGACTCTTGTGTAAAATGTTACCCGGCAGCTCTGCTCTATAGCCACAGCTGCTGCTAATGGAGATGTGTGGTTTGATCATGTTATTATTCTTCTAAGCTTTTCTATTGTTATTTCTAATGCCAAGATACAATTTCAGTAGCTGGGTTTGATCATTGACCGGTTGGTTAAATCACAAATATGGGTTCGCCCGTGTTCATTGTTTTTCTCCTTCATTGAATCTCACTTGAAAATTCTTATCTTTTTTTTTTCACTTAATGACAGCTCACATAATAATTCTGATTTGTTTTTCACTACACCACTGTCCTGTACCTCATATATTGTGTTTATTGCAGCATAAATGTCCCTTCCTGCAGTAGCCCTATCAAACGACCAAAGCGCAGAGCATTAGATGAACCAAATGAGTAAGTACTGTGACATTGACTGTTTCTCATATCAGATTGAAAAAACTTTTTTTTAAAGTTACTAAACAAACAAACAAACACAAAGTAAGGTCCTGGAAGTTTGTCGATATTAGAGCATTGAGACAACGCACACAAATTTGCCTAAATGGAAAACATTTTTAAATGAGTAAAATAAAGTTGTAGAAATATCTTTCTTCACACTTCTTTCTTTGTACATTTTTATTATGTTTTAGCTGGATTGAAATATGTTTGGACCTATCTGAAGCAGTCACAGGGTACCGAAACTTTGTTGTTTGACACTTTCTGTTGTTATTATTATTATTATTATTATGATTATTATTGATATATATTATTATTATTATTATTATTAATATTATATTTATTTTATTGTCTTTAAATATTTATTTTCACAGGGCCCCTTCTTCCAAAGTGTACTTATGTTTGGATAAATTTGCAAACTTGCACATCAGTCCAAGTGAACACAGCAGAGATGTAGGGACAGCTGCAAGTTACGCGGACCAAACAGAGAATATCAATTCGATTTGGCAGCATTTCCAAGAAATAGAAAACAGGTAAACTCATTGTCATTGGGTGGAAAAAATAAATAACTAATTGACCCTCTTTGCAGAGTTATGCATAGTACTATCACCTGTACTCACCATCAACATTTATGGCCTCAGGTCTTTTCCTTCTCCTCTGTTTTTACTCTCCTCTTGTCATTTCCAGATTTCTCTCGGTCTTCCCTGTTTTTCCTCATGTCAACAGTAGTCCACCCCTGTTCACTCTTTGATTCGGGACAACCTCTTAAGTAGCATTTTTTGTTCCCTATTTTAGTAAATCACCACTTAAATGGCGTTTTGGGGAAACATTTTGTGTTTATACAATGTCCTGCATGATATAAAACAGATTTTTGCTTCACCTGAAAACATCATATGATACATACCGGCATGACGATGATGTGACTAAAGCAAAAGGAGAGACACTGCTGACTTTATCTCTAGCTCTAAATGGGGCCTTTGCTGTCTGGGGGGCTCCAGTGGCTAAGTGGGTAATGAGTTTAGACCCAAGAGTAAAGTCAAGTAAATGTCGGTGAAATGGGGATCAGATGGGTGGTCACTGAGGTGTTTCCTTAAGCAAGACATGACAACCCTATCTAAAAAAACAGTGGCGACTAGCAAAGCATTGATTGTGAAATTGTTCTCTATTCATGTAATATTGTGTAGTATTTATGTGTATGTATTTTTGTATCATGTATATATGCTGCCATTGTAAACCAAATTGCCCTTAAGGGATTAATAAAAATGTAATTTATTATTACTTATTTGTTATGGTTGTCAAATTATAAAGAATCTATTTATGTGTGGTGGTTGACCTTTTTCTTTCCCAGGCTGGACGAAGAGTTGGAAGAGGACGTGAACACTTGTGTCGACCCTGGGAACACACAGGAGGACGGTCCCGTGCTGAAGGTCGCAGACGGCATCCTGGACGTTGACAAACACAAGAAGCTGGTGTCTGCTGAGCCCATTTTGCCGAGAGAAGTGATTGCAGAAGTGTAAGTGTTTGTCATGCCATGGTTTGTGTAGTCCAAGCATGGGGAAACTACGGCCCAGGGGCCATATTCAGCCCGCGAGTTGTTTCTGTCTGGTCCCAGTAATTATTAATAAATGCAGCTCTTGGTGAGTTTATCATAAAATAAAACTGCCCGTCTTGAAAATTAAAACCAATACAGTGGAAACCTGATATAACATGGATGGTGGGACCAGAGAAAAAAATCCTGTTACATCCGATCCCTGTTAAATCAGAAATACAAGGGAAGTAAACATTTGTGGACTAATCCAGCTGTATTTATTCATGGGTAGTTTCCCTTGCCACAAGTACCCATGAACAAGGGTTTTAGACAAGGTAATGATTATTGCATGTTAGGGTTTGTGGG